AGAGTGTGATCATTGGAATAGCTGGCCTCTGATGAGCACTTAGTATGTGCTAGGGACTCTTGGAAAGCTGTACATGCAGTATTCCATTTTATTCTTGTCACACACTTACTGTGTGGACACTTTTATCACCTCCACATAAGGACATGGATGCCCAAGGTCTTATAGGTATAGGTCTTATAGGTATAGTGGTGATACCAAGATTTGGCCCCTGGTGGTCTAGTTTCCAATTCAGCACTCCTATTATTCCCAATCTGCCTCTAGTGTGTGCATGTGTGGATGGAGAATATATTGAAATGTACAACTGTTTGAGTTTTTTGTTTTTTGTTTTTTGGAGATAGGGTCTTGCTCTGTTATCTGGGCTGGAGTGCCATGGTGCAATCATAGCTCACTGCAACCTTGAACTCCTGGGCTCAAACAGGCCTCCAGCCTCAGCCTCCCAGGTAACTGGGACTACAGACTTGCACCACCATGCCTGGCTAACTTTTAAAATTATTTTGTAGAGATAAGGTATGTTGGTATGTTGCCCAGGCTAGTCTCAAACTCCTGGGTTCAAGCAATTCTGCCACCTTGGCCTCCCAAAATGTTGGGATTCCAGGTGTGAGCCACTGCACCCAAACTTGAGTGTGATTTGAAGGTGCGTTTGGGACCCTTCAGTTGTAAATCATTATCACTTATCACTAGTCTAAAATGGAAAAGGTAGACGGTATTGAACAAATGTTGAATGAATTACCCCACGTCACTTGCAGATAGTACTTTTTGTTTTACATCATAGTCTTGTCTGTCTCTTTCCCCAAACCCCCATGGTTTTGATGATGAACTTTCAAGTAGGGCTTCACTGGTTGTTTCTTTGAATTATCCTCTTCATTAATTACGTAAACAGGGTAGAAATGCTCAAAAATGTTGACTTCCCATGGTCTTGTATCAAGGTAGCAATCACACTCACAAAGCAGATGCCCTTATACGGAAGAGCAGGTGCATCTCCAGCAGTGACCCCATGAAGATATTCCTGGTAGAGCTGATGAATGGCTTCTCTAGGTGGTATAGAGTCTCTGGGAAAACGAAATTGAACTCTTCATGGTCATCAGTTGCTCGGGCATATCCTGCTGAGCACTGGAGGCCATCATGGCAGGACATCACTGCATCATTTCTAGGCTTCTCAGGGACTGAGCACATGCAACCTTGCCATTGTGTTCTGCTGAGTCTGGGAAGGGGTGTCAGGACAGCTTGTCCTCAAAGGGCCTTGTCACAGGAGAGGGACACCGTGACCAGCAGAACTGCTCACAGGTCGAGGGCCACTGGGTGACAATAGGGCGGAGAGTGGATGTTTCAGTCATGGGGATGTGACATTGTTTAGTGCCAGTGTCTCAGTTCTCGGTGTGTTTGTGGTTGGCCAAGTGCGCAAGGACGGGTTCCTTCTGGAATAAATGCATAGGCTTTTGAGCCCATTCTTTGTTCATGCTCTCATTCTTTTATTTTCTGTTGTGGAAAGTTTCCAGTACACAGAAGTAGAGAGAATCATATCAAAGACTCGCACCAGGTGCTGTGGACCACACCTGTAATCCCAGCACTTTGGGAGGCTGAGGCATGATGGCTGCTTGAGCCCAGGAGTTTGAGACCAGTCTGAGCAACATAGCAAGACCTTATCACTTGAAAAAAACTAAACAATTAGCCAGGTGTGGTGGTGTGTGACTGTAGTCCCCGATACTTGTGAGACTGAGGCGGGAAGCTCATTTGAGCCCCGGAGGTCAAGGCTGTGGCGAGCTGTGCGCAACTGCACTCCAGCCTGAGTGACAGAGCAGGACCCTTTCTCAAAAAAATAAAATAAAGACTTTCATATACCCAACACAAATGTTGACATTTCACCAGTCGTGCCTTGTATTTGACTTTTTCTGATTTTCATTGAATTTTCTGTTGAGGCATAACAGTCAGTAAAGCTCACAGCTTGATGGATTTTGAAGATGAATTTTCATCTATGTTTATATCTGTACAACCTTCAGATCAAGATGTAGAACATTCTGAGACCTCAGCAGGCTCTTGCCTGCCCCTCCCTGAGATCTGCATTTTCATAAATTGTAGGATACAACGGTGACATCGTATTGGGAAAAATATTTTGACAGATAAAAACTTGTTTTCCTTCTTGCCTTCCTGCCTTCTTTTCTCCCTCCCTTCCTCTCCCTGTTCTCTCTCTCCCTCCCCTCCCTCCCTCCTTGCATTCTTGTTTCCTTCCCTTCTTCTTTATTCACTGATTTAGTTACTAAGAGGGTAAACTCTGGATTTGTTTTAAAAAAAAAAAAAAAAAAAAAAAAAAAAAAACAGACTGGGTGTGGTGGTTCACGCCTGTAATCCCAGCACTTTGTGAGGCTGAGGCAGGTGGATCACTTGAGGTCAGGAGTTTGAGACAAGCCTGGCCAACATGGCAAAACCCCATCTGTACTAAAAATACAAAAATCAACCAGGTGAGGCAGCAGGTGCCTGTAATCCCAGCTACTTGGGAGACTGAGGCAGGAGAATCACTTGAACTTGGGGGGCGGAATTTGCAGTGAGCCCAGATCATGCCGCTACCTGGGCTCCAGCCTGGGCGACAGAGCGGGACTCCATGTCAAAATAATACTACTAATAATGGAAAATACATACAGATCCAGAGTTTACCTTCTTAGTAATTACCTTCTTAATTACCTTCTTAATTACTAAGAAGGTAAACTCTGGGTCTGTTTGAATACATACATACATATATATATTATGGAAAAACCCAGATTAAGTGAAACTGGCTTAGAGATTGGCTTAGAGATTGTTTCAGATGAATAGTCTCTGTCAGTCTGAAAGGCCTGCCTTCCTCCTTCCCTTCCTCTCCCTCTTCCTCTCCCTCACTCCCCTCCTTTGCTTTCTTCCTGCTGAGCACTGACAGGCAACTCTAATGGCTATTGGAGATTCAGAACAAAACTAACCATGGTACTGGCCCGTCTTCCATGTCCACAGTGCCCCGGTGACTAGAGGGTACCTGAAGCGGCTTCTCAGGGTTTCTAACCTATTTTTTTTTTTTTTTTCCTGAGGTGAAGTCTCACTCTTGTCCCCCAGGCTGGAGTGTGACAGCGTGATCTCGGCTCACTGCAATCTCCGCCTCCCGGGTTCAAGCGATTCTCCTGCCTCGGTCCCCCGAATAGCTGGGATTACAGGCGCCTGCCACCATGCCTGGCTAATTTTTGTATTTTTAGTAGAGATGGGGTTTCACCATGTTGGCCAGGCAGGTCTACAACTCCTGACCTCAGGTGATCCAGCCGCCTCGGCCTCCCAAAGTGCTGGGATTATAGGCATGAGCCACCGCGCCTGGGGCCTCAGGGTTTCTTAGGAAGGGTGAGCTCCCTGCCCCACAGGTACTCAAGGCCAGGGAAGGGGTATCGTAAGTGCCTGGCTGGAGGCTGACGTAGTTGACTTGAGCTGCCCCTTGGTCCCCAGTCAGAGGAGGTCAAAAGGGCCTGGTGGGTGGTGACACCTGTGTGTTCCCTCGCAGACGCTGCAGGAGGTCTTCCAGGCCGAGAACACCATCATGCTGCTGGAAAGGTCCATCATGGCCAAGGAGGGCCCGCTGAAGGTGGCGCAGACGAGGCTGGAGTGCCGGACCTGGCGCCCCAACGTGGAGCTGTGCAGGGACATCCCTCAGTTCAAGTAAGTGAGGGAGGCCAGAGGAGGCAGGAGAACCCCTGGCAATCCAGGAAGGTGGAAGAGTGGGTCTCAGGAGCTCCCAGGTGCACTGGGTCTGAAAAACGGACCCTCCCTCAATCAGGACATCCAGTGGCACAACTCAATAGAGTGCAGGGTGCGGGCGGAGTTCTGAGATGCAGCTCGGGCTGTACCACTGCGTGGCTTCCTCATCACTGGGAGCCCCACCCTGTGCACTGTGGTCTTCTCACTTGCCTAAACTAGCGGTGGTTTTGTAACTCGGTTGTGCTCTAGAAACCCTCCTGTTTCCCTTGAAAGCCAAGGCAATGAATGGTAGCCTCCCAGGCGGTGGCTTTACCTTCTCTCTCCAGGCTCCCATGAAAGAGGCACCTGGCTCATTCCTCACTCATTTCCCACCTCCTGCTTTGTGAAGTTCTCACCATGAAGCCCTGGAAGAGCCTCATGAGCTCCTGGCTGATGGATTCCACCCATCCTGCTGTGCTAAGGAGGCTGGTGTCTGTTGACGAAGGGCTTTCTCACAGGACGGGGTGAAAAGCTCATTCCAGCCTAGAAAGGAGGCTTGTGGGGGGCGGAGGGCGGGGATTGTAATAGGATGATGGCCAGACCAAGAAGGAACAGGTCATCAGACTTGGAGATTATTTCCCATGAACATGCTGTATGACTTGGGGCAAACCACCTGGCCACTCTGTTCCCCTATGCTAGGGGCATTATCTTAATTGTCTATTGCTGTGTCATAAATTATCCCAAAAGGTAGTGACTTGAAAGAACCACATTTGTTATCTCAGTTTCTGTGGGTTAGGAATTGGGCTAGGTTCCTGGCTAGGTTCCACATGTCAGGGTCTTCCAGAGGTTGCAATCAAGGTGTCAGCTGGGGCTGTGGTCTTATCTCAAGGCTGGACTGGGGAAGGTTCCACATCCAAGCTCACTCCCATGCTTGTTGGCAGAACTCAGTTCTTTGCGGGCTGTTGGCTGGCAGCCATCCTTACTCACCCATGGGTCTTTCCAGCATGGTGGCTTGCTTCAACAAAGCATGCAAGCCAGAAGGACAATAACAGTACCAGGAGCAAGGACGTCGCAGTCTTTTGTAACCTAACCGTGGAAGTGACACCCATCACTCTTTCTGCATGCTCTTCTTTAGAAGCAAGTCTCTAGGTTCAGCCCACACTCAAGGGTGTGATACCAGGAGATGGGGATCATTGAGGGTCATCCTTGGAACATCCTCCTGTGGGCACTAACGGGGTTTCTGGTGGAGTGGGAGGAGACTGAGTTTGGCCCCATTTCAGCTGCTCATTTGCTCCATAAACCTTATTCTGCATTCACTGTGCCCAGGGCTGTGCTCACCGGGTTTCATAGTAGTACTTCTTTTGCCAAGATACTGAGTTGATATCCCCCATGAGAAGAAGATGTAAAGGACCATCCTCAGGCTTCCTTGTGCACATTATTTCAGCCCTGGCCTACAGCAACGGAAATTCACCCTGATGTCTAACTGCAGTCCCTTGAGCTTCTTTTGAGTTCTGTCCCTTTCAGTCTTACTCCTAGGGGAGTTGGGAAGTCTGTTACTCCTACTATTGTCAAATGGGAAGATAAATTGAGGTCCAGAGAGGTTGAAAAAACTGTCGCAGTCACACAGCATGAAGCCAGGGCTTCACTGGGCAGAGAGTACAGGTCTTGGTCCAGCGATGGACCCTGCTTCCTCCATCCTGGTGTGGAGACCCCACTGCTAGAAGTGAAAAGATGTCAAGAAGAAAACTATCAGTTAGGAGAAAGAGGATAGATAATCCAGAAAAAGTGTTAGGTGGTGTCCAAGCGATGATTTTTGCCCAGCCTCAGTTACCGCCTAAGTAACCATTTAGGAAATGGAAAAAGCAGGGTATGTGTTGGTGTGGGGTGGAGGGGCAGGCAACATGATTCAAGGCTTTGAACTTGAGGGCCTGGGGTCCCTCCCACTTTGGGAGACTGAGGCAGGAGGATCACTTGAGGCCAAGAGTTTGAGACCAGCCTGGACGACATAGCAAGACCCCATCTCTAAAAAAAAAAAAAACAAAAATTAGCCAGGGATGGTGGCATGTACCTGTAGTCCCAGCTACTCAGGAGGCTGAGGCAGAAGGATTGCTTAGGCCCAGGAGTTGGAGGCTGCAGTGAGTTATGATTGCACCATTGCACTCCACCCTGGGCAACAGAGCAACACCCAGCAGGCCTGCTACTGGCTTGCTAGGTCTTCAGCTCTGCAAGTGGGCTGGATGGGGTCTGGGTCCTGGCTGCAGAAGAGTGGGGGCTGGGCTCTGCTGACCTGTCTTCCACCTGCCCCTGCTTCTTCGATGCTCAAGCTGAACCCCAGCACCTCCTGGAGTGGAGGGCTCAGGTGATCCCTTTGCCTCCTCAACAGGACTATTTTTTTTTTCTTTAAATTGAGTCTCACTCTGTTTCCCAGGCTGGAGTGCAGTGGCACGATCTCGGCTCACTGCAACCTCCACCTCCCAGGTTCAAGAGATTCTCATGCCTCAGCCTCCTGAGTAGGTGGGATTACAGGTGCCTGCCACCATGCTCGCCTAATTTTTGTATTTTTAGTACAGACAGGGTTTCACCATGTTGGCCAGACTGGTCTCGAACTCCTAACCTCAAGTGATCCAGCCACCTCCACCTCCCAGAGTGCTGGGATTACAGGCGTGAGCCACAGTGCCCGGCCCCCACAGGGGACTTCTACAGAACAGGGCTTCTGGGGGAGTTGCCTGGAGGACCTACCGCTTTGGGGCAAGCTCTCTGCCTTTCCGTTTCCTGTTCAACAGTCATACCACTGAGGAGGACAGACAGAGAGCAAGAAGGTAGAGCATGTTTGGTTTAGGAGTCGGGCCGTGTGTGTGTGTGTGTGTGTGTGTGTGTGTGTGTGTGTGTGTGTGTGTGTGTGTGTGTGTGTGTGTGTGTGTGTGTGTGTGTGTGTGTCTCTGTGTGTCTGTATGTTTGTACATGTTGTATTTTGGTTTGTATGCGTGGCTGTCTTGGGAACTGAGCAGATGATAGGATTCAGGCTGTCTCCCTTCTCCAGTGGCTACATTGTCCCATCTACGCATGATCTTCCTTGTCCCCATCCCCTCCATTCCTGCCTTTGGGCCGTCTTTTTCCTTTTCCTCCTGCAAGTGGTCTCTCTTCTCCTGACCTACTCCAATCACTGGGGTCCCATCCATGCCTATCCCCCAGAAAGAAAGTCCTTTTAAAATTGAACTTTAAAGGCTAGGTGTGGTGGTTCAGACCTGTAACGCCAGTACTTTGGGAGGCTGAGGTGGGAGGATTGCATGAGGCCAGCAGTTCGAGACCAGCCTGGACAACATAGCAAGACCCCACCCATCTCTACAAAAAATACAAAAATTAGCCAGGCGTGGTGGCGTGCCTATAGTTCAAGCTACTCAGGAGGCTGAAGCAGGAGGATTGCTTAAGCACAGAAGTTGGAAGCTGCAGTGAGCTATAATCGTGCCACTGTACTCCATCCTGGGCAACAGAGCAACACCCTGTCAAAACAACAACAATAACAACAACTGAATTTTAATTAAAATTAAATAAAGTTAAAAAATTCAATTCCTTATTCACACTAATCACATTTCAAGAGCTCAGTATCCACATGTGGCTAGGGTCCACCATATCAGACAATGTAGCACAGAACATCTCCCTTGCTCTAGAAAGTTCTATTGGACAGTGCTGGTGGAAGTTTCCAGGCTGCTGCTGTCGCTTGTCTTCACTTCTCTCTAGCCCAGGCTCTCCATGGGGAAGTTCACCCAGCTTCATGTTCTCCGGTCCTGAGCACGGTTTCATTGTCTCTTCTCCGCACAGGTGGGACCCCCAGCGCAGTCCCACAGCCAAGCCACCGTCACAGCTCAGCTTGCTGCCTTCATTTCCCAGGGCTGCTGTCACAAATTACTACAAACTGGGTGGCTACAGAGAACAGAAGTTTATTCCCTCACAGCTTTGGGGGCCCGAAGTTCCAAATCAAGGTTGCTCTTCCTGGAGGCTCTGAGAGAGGCTCTGTCCCCTGCCACTCTCCCGGTTCCGGGGGACTGTCAGCAATCTTTGGTGTCCCTCAGCTTGTACCCGCATCGCTGCCATCTCTGCCTCCGTCTCCACATGGCCTTCTCCCCTGCATGTCTCCGTGTCTCAAACCTCCCTCTCCTTTCTCTTACAAGGAGATCAGTCATTGGATTTCAGTGTCACCCTAAATCCAGGATGGTCTCATCTTAAGATCCTTAACTTCATTACGCCTGCGAAGACCCTATTTCCTAATAACATCACACACCCACCAAGGCTTAGGACTTGAACATATCTTTCTGGGGAACACCATCCAATCCGCTCCGTGTGGATTCACAATAACCTCCTAACCTTTCTCCTGCCTCTACTCTTGCCCCTTCCAATCTCATCTTACACAGCCGCCTAGAGGTTATCCCGAAACTCCAATCAGCATGTCATTCCCTGTTTCAACCCCCCGGCCCCCACCCCATGGCTTCCCACAGCGCTGAGAACAAACCCAAGCCCTTAATTTTGCATGTGCTTTTCTCTTTTTTTTTTTTTTTTTTTTGAAATGGAGTCTTGCTCTATTGCCCAGGCTGGAGTGTAGTAGCATGATCTCAGCCCACTGCAACCTCTGCCTCCTGAGTTCAAGTGATTCTCCTGCCTCGGCCTCCTGAGTAGCTGGGATTACAGGCACATGCCACCACACCTGGCTAATTTTTGTATTTTTTTTTTTAAGTAAGGACCAGGTTTCACCATGTTGGCCAGGATGGTCTCAACTTCTTGACCTCAAGTGATCTGCCCGCTTCAGCCTCCCAAAGTGTTGGGATTACAGGCTGCAACCTCTGCCCCCTGGGTCAGCCTCCCAAGTAGCTGGGATTACAGGTGTGCACCACGACACCTGACTAATTTTTTGTGTTGTCAGTAGAGACGGCGTTTTGCCACTATGTTGGCCAAGCTGGTCTCGAACCCCTGACCTCAAGTGATCTGCCCGTCTCAGCCTCATAAAGTGCTGAGATTACAAGCGTGAGTCACCATGCCCAGCCAAAATTTAAATTTTAAATTAAAATAATACAATTAAAAATTCAGTTTCTCAGTTCATTAGCCCTGTGGGGCTGGTGGTACCATACTGGATGGTGCAGATATAGACCTTCCCATCTTCACAGAAAGTTCTACTCCACAGCACTGCTGAAGCCCACTTTCTCTCTTGGCCTTCACACGTCCAGCTCAATCTCATCTTCTTCTCTGGTCAAAGTCATCTCATGGGGGGCTGAGGGAGGAGGATCACTTGAGCCCAGGAGTTTGAGACCAACCTGGAGGCAAAAAAAAGAAATCCCATCTCTATAAAACCTTTTTTTTTTAATTAACCAGGTGTGGTGGTGCATGCCTGTAGCCTCAGCTATTTGGGAGGCTGAGACAGGAGGATCTCTTGAACCCAGAGGTTTGAGGCTACAGTAAGCTATGATGGCACCACTGCACTCCAGCCTGGGTGACAAGGGAGACTTTGTCTAAAAAATAAAAATTAAAATTAAAATCAGCTGGGTGTGGTGGCTCATGCCTGTAATCTCAGCATTTTGGGAGGCCAAGTCGGGCAGACTGCTTGAGCCCGGGAGTTTGAGACCAGCCTGGGCAACATGGTGAAACCTTGTCTCTACAAAAAATGTAAAATTAGTCAAGTGCGGTTTTGCACACCTGTAGACCCAGCTACTTGAGAGGCTGAGGCTGGAGGAACGCTTAAGCCAAGGAAGTTGAGGCTGCAGTGAGCTATGACTGCACCACTGCACTCTGGCCTAGACAGAGTGAGACTCTGTCTCAAAAAGAAAAAAGAAAAAAAAGTCCTCTCCTCGGAAAGTTCTAGAAAAGCAAAGCCTCAGAAGGAGGGGGGATGGGGAAGTAGTACGGGGCAGCTCGGCCCCAGCTGATCCTGCAAGGGGCTCCAGACGGTGAAGTGCATCATGGAGATGTCTGCACCAGAGGCCCTTTGTACCTGAGTCAGCCAGTCATTGCCTGTGGCCACTGGCAGGGACTCTCCTCCCAGGTGAGATAGCTCTGACTGGCTGAGCAACATAAGTCTCTGGAGAAGTACAGACCTGTGGGCCGCTAGCATAGCAGCTGGGGATGGTGCCCTGGTCAGTAACAAAGACTGAGTGAGGCTCTTACCTAGATGAGGCTGGCCCTGTTATCCTGTTTAGGAAAAAATTATAGGGCCGGGAGCGGTGGCTCCTGCCTGTAATCCCAGCACGTTGGGAGGCTGAGACTGGCGGATTGCCTGAGCTCAGGAGTTCGAGACCAGCCTGGGCAACACGGTGAAACCCTGCCTCTACTAAAACACAAAAAAATTAGCTGAGTGTGGTAGTGGGCTTCTGTAATCCCAGCTATTTGGGAGGCTGAGGCAAGAGAATTGCTTGAACCCGGGAGGTGGAGGTTGCCGTGAGCCGAGATTGCACCACTGTACTCCAGCCTGGATGACAGGGTGAGACTCCGTCTCAAAGAAAAAAAAAACAAAAAACCAGAAAAAATTGTGATAAAGTACGCATAACACAAATTTTATCATCAGTGACATTTGGTACATTCACAGTGTTTGTGCAACCCTCACTACTCTCTAGTTCTATGACATTTTCATCAACCCAAAAGGAAACCCCGTACCCATTAAAGAATCTTCTACATTCTCCCCACAGCCTGACCTTTGGAAGACACCAGTTAACTTTCTGTCTGTGTGGCTTTGCCTGTTCTGGACGTTTCCTATGAATGCAGTCATGCAATATTTGTCCTTTCGTGTCTGACTTCCTTTGTTTAGCATCATGTTTTTCAAGATTCATCCATGTTGTCACAGGTATTAGTATTTCATCACTTTTTTTTTTTCTTTTTTTTGGGACGGAGTTTCGCTCCGTCGGAGTGCAATGGTGTGATCTCAGCTCACTGCAACCTCCGCCTCCCGGGTTCAAGAGCTTCCCGCGCCTCAGCCTCTGAAGTGGCTGGGATTACAGGCACGCGCCATCATGCCCGGCTAATTTTTTGTATTTTCAGTGGAGATGGGGTTTCCCCATGTTGGCCAGGCTGGTCCTGAACTGTTGACCTCAAGTGATCCACCTGCCTCGGCTTCCCAAAGTGCTGGAATTACAGACGTGAGCCACCACACCCAGCTGTATTTCATTCCTTTTTATTATAGCTGAATAATCTCCCATTTTGTGGCTTGATTACATTGTGCTTATCTACTCATCCATCCATCCATGGACATTTGAGCTGCTTGCACCTTTTGGCTATCGTGAATAGGGCTGCTGTGAACATTCATGTACACGTTTTGGTTTGAACACCTGTTTTCCGTTTTTTTGGGTATATACCCAAGAGCAGGACTGCTGGACTGTATGGTAAGTCTATGTCTAACTTACCAAGGAATCTCCAGATTGGTCTCCTGTTCCGTTTTACCATCCTGTCTTATTTCTTCCTTTGTGTACATTACCCTTGACAGTTCTCTTGTGTATTTACTCGTCTACCTATTCTGCCTCTGCCTTCCCAGGGAGGGCTGATGAGCCTTGCCTGTCTTGCTTGCTGCTGTCAGGCACAGTTCCCAGTGCACAGTGAGTACATCTGCCTTGAACCTAATAACCTGTGCCAGGCTGGGCACCATGGCTCATGCTTGTAATCCCAGCACTTTGGGAGGCCAAGGCAGGTGGGTCACTTGAGGTCAGGAGTTCTTGGCCAGCCTGACCAACATGGTGAAACCCTGCCTCTACTAAAAAAAATATATATATATATACAAAAATTAGCTGGGCGTTGTGGTGTGTGACTGTAATCCCAGCTACTCGGGAGGCTGAAGCAGAATTGCTTGAACCCGGGAGGTGGAGCTTGCAGTGAACCGAGATCATGCCACTGCACTCCAGCCTGGGCAACAGAGTGAGACTCTGTCTCAAAAAATAAACAAATAAAAATAAATGAATAACCTGTGCCTTCTCCTCTTCCCTCACCCCAGGCTGGTTAACGAGGTGTTCACCATCGACGACACCCTGCAGACCCTGAAGCTGCGGCTGCGGGAGACGCAGGACATGCTGCAGCTGCTGGTCATGACCAAGTGCCGGCTAGAGCACGAGCTCGCCATCAAGGCCAACACCCTCTGCATCGACAAGGAGAAGTGCATGGGCATGCGTAAGACCTTCCCCTGCACCCCGCGCCTGGTGGGCCACACCTGAGCACCGCCCTGGCGCCTCCTTCCACGCTTGGAAAAGGCTGAGAAACAAAGTAAAACAGTATTTTGTTTGGAAGGGGCCGAATTTCTCTTTTTCGTACCTATTTGTTATCTGCATTTTTCTCTCTCTCTCTCACTCTCTCTCTCTGTTACCTGTTTGTCACCTTAGGAGCACAGTGTAGACCATGGTGTTTTAAGATTAGACTTCATAGCTGAAAATCTAGAGCCCAGCACTGTCACTTAGGACCTGTGTGGCCTGGAACAAGTTTCTCACCTGTGGTCCTCATCTATGGAATGAGGATAGTCCGAGGTGCCAGGGGATTGCCAGCAGTGTGGGGCAGAGAGAAAAAAAAAAACCACAAAAATAACCAGGATTTGGAATCAGAAGTTCTGGCTGTGAATCCCAGCCTTGGTAGATGGAGTGTTTGTTTATGTATTTATTTATTTGACATGGAGTTTCACTCTGTCACCCAGGCTGGAGTGCAATGGTGCAATCTCGGCTCACTGCAACCTCCACCTCCTGGGTTTAAGCAGTTCCCCTGCCTCGCTAGCTGGGATGACAGGCACCCACCATTACGCCTGGCTATTTTTTGTATTTTTAGTAGAGAGATAGGTTTTCACCATGTTGACCACGCTGGTCTCAAACTCCTGACCTCAGGTGATCCACACGTCTCGGCCTCCCAAAGTGTTGGGACTACAGGCGTGAGCCACCACGTCTGGCCGATGGAGTATTTTAGAAATAGCTATGGGAGGCCAGGTGTGGTGGCTTACACCTGTAATTCCAGCACTTTGGGAGGCCGAGGTGGGTGGATCAGTTGAGGCCAGGAGTTCGAGACAAGCCTGGCCAACGTGGGGAAACCACATCTCTACCAAAAATACAAAAATTTGCCAGGTGTGTTGGTGCAAACCTGTAATCCCAGCTACTGGGTAGGCTAAGGTGGGAGAATTGCTTGAACCTGGGAGACGGAGGTTTCGGTGAGCCAAGATTATGCCACTGCACTCCTCAAAAAGTAGTTAAACATAAAACTGCTCTATGACCCAGCAATTTCACTCCTAGGTGTTTACCCAAGAGAAGTGAAAAACGATCCTCAAATACTCGTGCACGAATGTTCAGAGCAGCACTGATCACATTAGTCAAAGGGTGGAATGACCCAAATGTCTATCCATGGATGGATGGGAAAACAAAGTGTGCTGAATCCGTACAATGGAGTCTGATTTAGCCATAAAATGGAATGAAGCACTGATCCACGGTGCAACATGGATGAACCTTGAAAACAGGATGCTAAGTGAAAAAAGCCAGACAGAAATCCCACATAGTATATGATTCCATTTATATGAAATGTCCAAAATAGGCAAATCCATAGAAATAGATACGGTTGCTGGGAGAGGGGAACAGGGAGTGACTGCTTAGCGGATGCAGGGTTTTACTTTGGAGTGATGAAAATGTTTTGGAACTAGAGAGAGGTGGTTGCATAGCATTGTGAATACACTAAATGCCATAGAATTGTTTGTTTATTTTTGAGTTGGAGTTTCTCTCTGTCACCCAGGCTGGAGTGCAATGCTGCAATCTTGGCTCACTGCAAACCTCCACCTCCCGGGTTCAAGCGATTCTCCTGCCTCAACCTCTCGAGTAGCTGGGACTACAGGCGCCCACCACCATGCCCAGCTAATTTTTTGTAATTTTAGTAGAGACGGGGTTTCACTGTGTTAGTCAGAATGGTCTTAATCTCCTGACCTCAAGATCCGCCTGCCTTGGTCTCCCAAAGTGCTGGGATTACAGGCATGAGGCACCGCTCCCAGCCAGGCCTCAGTTTCTTAATATATCTCTTCCATAGGGGATTTCACTCCTTCCCCTCTTTTTTTTTTTTTTTCTTCTTTTTTGAGATGGAGTTTTGCTCTTGTCACCCAGGCTGGAGCGCAATGGCATAATCTGGGCTCGCTGTAACATCTGCCTCCCTGGGTTCAAGCGATTCTTCTGTCTCAGCTTCCCAAGTAGCTGGAACTACAGATGCACACCACCGTGCCCAGCTAATTTTTTGTATTTTTAGCAGAGATGGGGTTTCACCATGTTGGCCAGGCTGGTCTCCAACTCCTGACCTCAGGCGATCCACCCGCCTCGGCCTTGTAAAGTGCTGGGATTACAGGCATGAGCCCAGCGTACCTTCCCCTCCTTTTAATCCCATTCATGCCCCCACTGACTCCCAAATTTCTGGCTTCTAAATCCAGGCTCCTGAACTCAGCTTCTGACGACATTTCTAGCTTTACCTGCCCAGTTCCAGGCCACCCTCTGTTCTTCCCCAGTCGATCCCCAACCTTAGAGTCATCCTTGATCCCTGTCTTTCTCCCACACCCCACATTTAATTCCTCAGCAAGTCACGTGCATACTACCTTCCTAATCTTTCCTGAACTTGGCCACTGCTCGCCTTCTCTTCTGTTACCACTTGAGATAAGCACCTATTATGTCTCACCTGGGCAACAGGTACAGTGGGGAGGGAAGATGAGTCAACTTGGACTGTGGCCCCCCTGGCCCTTATAGGTGCTACAAGGAGACACAGGGCCTATACACTACCAGATGCAGCTACATTTAGGCAGAGGGGGGCCAGTGATCTTTCAGAAAAAACCAACTTTGAAGTCAGGCGCTTGAGTTGGCAAGGTTCCTGCACTTCAGTGAGCCTCAGTCGCCTTGTCTGTGTAATGGGTCCCCCAACACGAGGATGTCTAGGAAAACGTCAGCATTATTGGGACAGAATCCTTGAGCCCATGTGAGCACCAAAACATGGGTAGAAAAAAAATAGATCTCCAGCACTTTTTAAGCTATGATTGAAATGTTTGTGGATGCCATTGGGTTCAACCAATATATTATTGAATTGATACTGGCCTTCTATTGTTATAGATTTTCTTTGACAAATCCTGAAAATATAAAGAAGGAGGCCACCTAATCTCATGTGGAGAAGGGGTTCTCCTTCTCTGTCATTATTTAAAAGAGGTGGTGGGATGACACCATGATCAAGAGCAAGACCCTCCCTCCCTCCCTCCCTCCCTCCCTCCCTTCCTTCCTTCCTTCCTTCCTTCCTTCCTTCCTTCCTTCCTTCCTTCCTTCCTTCCTCAGGGTTTTGCCATGTTGCCTAAGCTGGTCTTGAACTCCTGGCCTCAAGTGATCCTCCTGCCTCAGTCTCTCAAAGCACTGGGATGTCAGGTGCTAGCCAGTGATCCTGGCATGAGCAGAACTTTCACACTAGATCTAATTTGACTCCACTCCCCACTAGCTGTGTTGCCTTGGGAAAGTCACTGAGTCACTGAACCTCAGTTTCCCTATCTGTCAAAGGGGGCCAATATTCATTTCCCCCATTCATGGGTGACTGTGAGGACTAAGTTAGGATGATAGGACTAATACCTCCATATCTAAGGGGTATTCAGTAATATTTTAAGAATAACAGCTCATATTTACTGAGGATTTGCTCTGTGCCAGGCAATTTTAAAAGTACCATCTCATTTTAATCATCACCAGCCCTGAAACATGGAAATGGAAATTAAGGCACAGAGAGGTTAAGAAACTTAGCCGTAGTCACACCGTCTCCTTATCTATATAATGGTCCCCCTAAGTGAGGATTTGCAAATAATAAATGACTGAGACAGTTATGTCCAGTTATGAGAATCCTGGGTCTGAACTACTACTGACCACAGCTTCCCAAAATAAAGAAAAAACTATTGTTTAGGGTGGACCCACAGACCAAAAAGGGTCAGGCAAAGGCCGGCCCCACAGCGGCATCTAAAGGAGCAGAGGACCTCACAGCCTTGCTCTCAGAGGGGCCAACTTGATTAAACATTTCTTCATTCTCTGGAGAAGAGAGTAATGATAACAATAACAATTGGAGGCCAAGGTGGGAGAATTGCTTGAGGCCAGGACTTCAAGACCAGCCTGGGCAACATAGCAAGACCCCATCTCTAAAATTAAAAAAAAAAAATTCGCTGGGCACAGTGGTGCGCACCTGTGGTCCCAGTTAGTTGGGAGGCTGAGGCAGGAGAATCACTTGAGCCCAAGAGTTTGAGGTTGCACCACTGCATTCCAGCCTGAGTGACTGAGCAAGACCCTGTCTCTAAAAAAAAAAAAAAAAAAAAACTGGCACTAACAGCTTGAATGCTTGGGAGATGCCAAGTGCTCTATCTCAGGTAATCTCCATGCTCATCCCCGCTTTACAGATAAGGAAACTGAGGCACAGAGAGTCTAGGTCCCTTGCCCACAGTTACACAGCTAGGATGGGTTGGCCCTGGCCTTCAGTGCTTATGCACCCACCCAGGTGGCCCCCCGCTGGTGCTTTTGCCCGCACTCCTCTACTCCCAGCCAGTGTCAGTGACAAGGCACTGCCTCGGAGGGAGGCGGCTGCATTTTTTGCCTGGTCCAGAAATGTCAGTGTGTCACTATCACACAAAGTCCTGGCGGTTCGCTCCTGTGATTTCCAAGGCACTCTAAACAAGTGTCCCTGCTCCCAGGGTGAGGGGTGGGAGGAGGAGCAGGAATGGGAGACAGGTTTAAAGCACACAATTAAAATTCCTAAGCCGCGATATGGAGTCTTATTCCACATGCAGAACATTGTTGGTCTGCGTATGGCACAGGGGGCTGGGCTGGAAGCCTCTTGCCACACCTTCTCCCATCCCATGTGACCCCAGACATGCTCCCCGGTGGAATTCTCTGTGTCCCCCGAGACAGCCGGCCCCGCCCTCCGCCCCCCACCCAGCAGGGCTGCTTGGGATTCCTGGCGCTCCTCCGGGGGCAGGCACGGGTGTGGGCACCCATGGGCCGCAGAACCCTGGACAGCCTGAGTCGGGGATATCTGAGGGGCTGCTGGCCCAGGCCACATGCTTGGTAGGTCAGCACCTGGCAGTGTGTGCGTGTGCTGCGAGTGGGTGTCTGCAGCTGCCTCTGCTGGGCCCTGGGCTGTTGGTGGTCTCCGAAGATAAGGGAGACCCTTCGGCTGAGGGTGTGAATGAGAGAGGCCTGCCTTCCCCAGGGGTGTGGACCTCCTCTGCTGATAAGGGGCTGCCCTTATCTAGGAGCTGAGAGCAGATAAGAGG